ATCTATCTATCTATCTATCTATCTATCTATCTATCTATCTATCTATATCTATGCATACAGAACTGGAGTGCAGGCCAGAGGTACAGGGCAGTGAGAGGATTCACCAGAGACAGAGCGGGGAGCAGAACAGGCAGAATAATGATGTCCACTGCTGAGGGGAGCAGTAGGCGGGTCAGGAGAGGTCTGCTGCACCATATGGGTCACCTCTGGGGTTAGGGATTGATCTCCCACTGAAGCAGCTGTGGCCAGCTTGCAGTGCTGTGTTTAACCCACGTGCCACCAGGGAGGGCCCTGTTTTACTTTTTGCTGGGAATTTTAAAGTAAGTTAAAGAAGTCATTTCATTTGCAAGAGTATTTCAACAAAGGATATTTTCTTACACAACTATGCTGGTATTATCACATTCTACAAGATTTAAAATTGCTTAACATAATTTATTACCTAGTCCATGCTAAATATTTTTCTTGTCTAAGAAAAAACATCTTTATACAGTAAGTTTGTTGCAATCAGTAGGCAAGTAAAGTTCATTAATGGTGTTGTCTTGTGAATGCTAGTTGTGTTTAACTCTCTTTTAACATAAGTTAGACACCCTTCCTACACTTACGGCATTTAACCTAATTCACCCCATGCCACCACTGAGTCCGTGTTCAGCTAATCAACTGAGCAAACATTCTGAACCACTCCCGGATATTTCTCCCAGATGGTAGAACACAGGTAAGTAAACCCATCTGGATAAATTGATCTAATCTAAAATTATGCTCCTCTCGCTGGGCTCAATTCACCCAGATTCTATAGTTTTTTGTTCACGTAAATTCATGGAAACCTTTAGTTTTTCTCTCTAGATTTAACTTGGTCCCTGGAGTCCCCTTGGAGTATACTGTCATCCGGGGTGGCAGTGGTGCCTGGGAAATCGGCTCTTGCTTCCAACCCTCAAGCACTTGTACCAGGAATCCCTTAACGAGTCCCAAACAGTCCCATCAACCCTACAAGAAAATAGGCATGTGGACAGGGAGGCCTGATGGGACGTGTGGGTTTGAGCTACCCCGAGACATCTAAGGGTACCCGTGTGTCCTGGGCAAGTCTTCGGAGGCATTCTTCCCAAGGCAGGCTCAGCTTTCATTCGTGCGCGAGACCAAGAAAAACTAGGACCCAAGTGAGGGCCGCTCCCACAAAGCCCCGCGCTAGGCCCCAGTACCACCGCCTCCACCATTGGTGGATGCCTCGCAGCCGTTTCCAAAAGCCGTGGCCTTTGCTGCCGCCTTGGAGAAATCAGTCTTTAGGGCACCTGCTTCATGGACTACTGTCTTGTATATAAGGGTCTCAGAGTGCGTTTGGACTCATGGGGCCCATGAATCCCAGTCACAAGGGAGTCTGGGAAATTGGTTTCTTGCTTCACTTTGGACATGAAAGGTGACCAGAGTCCTGGGCATCCACAGACATGAGTAATAGCCACAATAGTGTCTCTGTTTTATCTTTTAAGACAAAGCGTTAAAGCATCCCTGGTTTAGATAATGCCATCATTATGATCATTACCATTGACTGCAACTTAACAAGTTTGTAATCAGTGTTTCAAGGCACTAGGCTTTACGTACACTGTCTCATTTACTCTGCAGAATTCGGCCAAGTAGAGTCCATTATTATCCCATTTCCCCATGCCTTAGTTTTATCACCTGTAAAACCTGGATGATAATCGTAACTACATCCATGAGGATCTGTTTTTTTTTTTAAAGATTTATTTATTTATGCATACATAACTGGGGTACAGGCCAGAGATGCAGGGGCGGGGAGATGATTCACCAGAGACAGAGTGGGGAGTAGGTGGGGCGGATGGATGAAGCACACTGCTGAGGGGGCAGCGGGCGAGGCAGGAGAGGCCTGCTGACCCCGGGCTGAGCCCGGGATTGAACTCGTGCTTAAGTGGCTGTGGCTAGCTTCTTAGTGCTGTTCTTTAGCCATTTGCCCTACTAGGGAGGGCCCTATCCATGAGGTTTTGTTTGATATCTGGAAGTGTGCTTGGTAGAGAGCACTCCATCAATAACGACATCATCTTCACCACCATCTTACTCTCTTGTTTGCATATTCAACTCTATGGGTTTGATTATGGAGTTAGGCTGGCTTTTTTAATTCCTAGGAACAAAGACTAGAGGTCAACAGAACTGGGTTCACACTTCTGCTGGACCAGTGGTCTGACCATGGGGGAGCCTCAAGGCCATCTCCTTGAGTCCCTTGCATCCTCTGGAGTCCTCCTCTCTGGTCAATGCCTGCATATTTACCGCTCCCACATGGGGATTCTTTGAGGGTTGAGAGCCTGTTTTGCCCATCTTTCTGCCCTGCCAATAACTGGTATAACAGTTGTATATATGAGTCACCCAGCCTTACCTTAGAGGAACCCAGGACGCAAGCCCTACCAGGTAGGCTGAGTGAAGTGGAGGGTGGCGTGTCCTTGGGGCTGGGTGCTATGCTTGTCAGGATGCCTTTCTGATAAATCTCCCACTCTTCCCCAAGAACAGAGCCCCAGAGGTGGCCTTGGGGACCCATGTTCTGTTTCTGTCATGGGGGCACCTGGGCTGAGCCACCCACTCACTTTGTGACCCCCAACACATTGTGTTACACAAGGTGCGCTTCCCTGGACCTTGGCTTCAGCACCAGGAAAGCGGGAGGGTTAGGCCGGATACAAATGGGAGCTGGTGGAGACCTGAGGGCATATTGATACAAACTTCAGGTCACAGAGGGGGTTCTGTGCAGCCTGAAAGCGAAGAGATGACCTGTAAGTGGCAGCCATGAAGAGACAGTTTAAATCCCAAGGAAGACTTTGACCTCTCTCAGAGCTGTCAAGAATAGAGCTGGCTGCTTCAGGAAGGGGTGTGTATGCAGGTTGGAAAGGGGATTTGCACACTGGGAGAGGGAGGATGGCCACAGGACTTTCAAGTCTGAGATGCATTGGTTCAAAGATTTTGGCAATTGAAGCATGCAATTAAGATCCTAACTTCTAGGTGCTTATTATCAAATGTCCCTTTTGGATAAGAATCCTGAGACTGATAGACTTCAGGTTTTCTAGATTTGATTCAAAGATATACTTGCAGGTTCTCATGATCTATGTTCTGCGGGCTTCACCCAGAACTGAAGTGAGACACAGAGACCCACCGGGAAGCTAAGTATGTAGTCTCAGAAGTGATTAGTCCTTTTTAAAATTTTTTTTATTTAATTAATTTATTTTTGTGAATAACCTTTATAAAAACATATTTTGAGACCTAATTCCCATCCCAGACGTTTCACCCACTTTGAGTGTCCAGTTCAGTGGTTTTTAGTATCTTCACAAAGTTGTGCAACCATCACCACAACCTAATATTGAATGTTTTGTTCAGCGGTTTCATCCTCCCAGCTCCCCCGCGAGAGATGTGGACACCATCCACCTTAAAGCTGATGAAATGCAGGCTCCCAGCGGTGGCCAGCTGCCAAGGTCTCACAGCACCTTCCAAGCAGTGGTAGGGGTCAGTTCTCCTGAATCAGTCTGGAGCGAGAGTGGGCAGCAGGCACTCTCAAAGCCATGGGCTTCACCGTCTTGCTTGGAATCACAGAACAGAAGTCTTCTCTCACTGAGTCTTCCTCTCACCCACCATCTTACAGATGGCAAGCATGAGGCCCCTGGAGGTGAGGTTCTACCAGGAGAACAGGGCAGGGCTGGCAGAAGAGCAGAGGCAGCTGGTAGTAAGCTCCCTGTCTGTCTTCCTTCTTGGGACAGAGGTGGGGCACTCACCTGCTGCGCCCACCTGCAGGAGGAGCCAGCTGGTATCCCAGAGGCAGGGAATCGCCCAGCCCGGAGGGCCAGGTCATAGAGCCAGGCCTCCGCGTGGAGAGGAAGGGTGGGGTTATATAACCTGGTACCCAGTGTCATAGCCAGGCTCACTTTTGGAGAAATTTCCAGGGAAGCATTTCGAGGGCAAGCCAGGAGCGACCTGCTCACACTCCCAGGCAGTGGGGCAGCCCCGAAGGAGTCTGAGGTCCCGGTTCTGCTCCTGGTTCTGCTCCAGGTAGCTGGGTCCCCTGGAAAGCTCTGGTCTTGTGGTTTTCCATCTGCAGAGAGGGAAGGGTGAATGAGAGGGTTTCCGGGGTCTCTCCATTCTCATTGTCACTGATGCTCGCCGATAGAGGAGGCTGAGTGGTGGACAGTGGTGACCTCGCCATGTCAGCTCTCCTGGCCGGCTCGGGGGTTGGTTTGGACTAAGTGAACAAGGGCGGCCAGGATTTGATGGCTACTCCCCTGATCCTGAGGAGCTGCGCTGTGACTGTCTCTTCACAGGGGCCTCTCGAAGCCAGGACAACAAAGATCCCGTTCCCTGGTCTGTGCCTGCAGTAGCGGTCAGGATGGGCACCAGGTATGTCTGGGTGTGGAGTGGGGACCACGACGCCACCCTGACCACTGAAATAGGACCCTGGCCTCAGGCTGTCCTCACTTCGGTCTTGACTGTATGACCAGCAGTAGGTCTAGTTGTTGTCTGAGGGGACCCAGGGGCCAGTCCCAGCTCTGCCATCAACCACCCTGGGCCTCTTGTCACTGTGGGAGAAACGCAGATGTCGGACTCTGTCATCTCCGAGGTGCTTATTCCGAGTGCTGTCATCTGAGGTCTGGGGCCCTGCGCTATCCTTGCTGGGAGGACTGGGGGAAGATGCAAGCCCCCACCCCATGAGCACGGCCGTGCCTCCCACTGCTTCTCACTTGTCTCGGAACACGGGTGGTGGCCCGCTGCCCGCCTGCAGATTGGGGAACTCATGAGGGCTCCAGGGGTCTGTGGGACTGAATGGGAGGAGTGAGGACGAAGGGTCTGGGGACTTGGCTCCCAAGGGACCCCCCGCGGGAAGCTGGCAGGAGGTGGAGGCTGCGTTCTCAGAGCAAGCCCTTTCCAGGCGGCCTGGGCAGTGGCTGGCAGAGGACTCGGCTGCAGTGTCGGGGATTAGCAACCCCGTCAGGGACCTGAAGGAGAGTCCAGGGGCCCCTGGAGACATGTGGCCAAAGGAGCTCATCACCATGGAGCCTGGGGAAACTGGTCAGCAGGTGGTCCTGAAGAAGATCCGCGAGCTTTCTGATTCGGTATGGAGGGAGTGGCCAGGCATTGGGGGGTTGGGGGGGGTTGAGGAGAGGGTGGAAAGGAGAGCAGGGGGTGACCTGGTCTCTAGCTGGTGGGCAGGAAAGGAGACTTTCCATTTGGTGGTTTTGTAAGTCTGTTGACTGGGTCTTATTCCAAGGCTCCACTCTGCCCCAGACGTGGTCTTCCCCACCACTGGGATTGTGTCCAGTGCCAACCTAGGGAGCCCTGTGTCCCAGCTTTGGTCTGTGAAGATCATTGCCCACGTGTCCCCCTGTCTTTCAGTCAGAGGACCTGGGCCCCGAGCCCATCCTTGAACTCGCTGTGTGACCCTGGGCCACCACCGCGCACGGCTAAGCCTTTGT